AGAAAAGTTAACTGGGCATGGTGGCATGTGCCTGTAATCCCAGCTACTCAAGAGGCTGAGACCAGGAGTTTGAGGTTGCTGTGAGCTAGGCTGACACCACAGCACTCTAGTCCAGGTGACAAAGTGAGACTCCATCTCAAAAACAAACAAACAAAAAAAAAAGACTTTGTGTCCAAGTTCTAAAGGAAAATATAAATGATTTAAACTTGTTAACTTGAATATGTAAAATATAACTATGATGCCTAACTATGGGATTATACCTAGTGCCAGCAATGAAATGAGAATGAAAACATAGCAGACCTAGGAATTGTATTCTTTACACCCTAGTTAGTTGTTTCCCTAAAAATCTCTAAACTGGAAAACACCTGTGCCAGGGGCAGAAGGTGGGTGCTAAGTTAAATTGAAAATCCCAAAACTGTAGCACAGCTGAAAAATCTCATATCCTGAGGCTGGGGTTTGGCGCTTCCGGTGAAATAACATTTACTGGGTAGTATTGTTAAGTAAGGCAGTGATTGTTAATGATGTGGCTTCTATTTGGTAAAGATAAAATCCCCAGCAGAAGACTTGGTATTGCTTCTCTGACTTGGTGACATAAGCCCCAAACCAACGGATAAAGAAGTTCCCAGTTAGTTCATGATGGGTAGCAAAAAAAGCAAAGCACCAAGAAGTCACCAGGAATTTACTGCCATCTCCACCAAATAATAAATAACTATAAATGAACTAAAAATATGGACAGATATATTTGCTGCAGTTTAAGAAAGATTTATCTCATATAGATGTAAACACTTATTTACTATAAAGGTTCACAAATATACAATATATGTGTGTTGTGGGCTGAACTGTGTCCCCCAAAAATTCGTATGTTGCAGTCGCAACCCCTTGTGCTTCAGAATGTGACTGTATTTGGAGATAAGGTCTTTAAAGAGGTGATTGAGTTAAAATGAGGTCTTTAGAGTGGGCCTTAATACAATATGATTGGTGTCTTTTTAAGAGGAAGAGACTAGGACAACACACAGACTGAGGGACAAATATGTGAGGACACAGCTAGAAGTCTGCAAGCCAAGGAATGAGGCCTCAGAAGAAACCAAACCTGCCTTGATCTGGGGCTTTTAGCCTCCAGCTCTGTGAAAAAATCAAATTCTATTTTGTAAGCCACCAAGTCTATGGCATTCTGTTATGGTAGCCCTAACAAAGTAATACAATATGCGTGCATTTCAGCAAAAATTATGAACAAAATCTTGGGAGGCCGAAGCAGGCGGATTGCTCAAGGTCAGGAGTTCAAAACCAGCCTGAGCAAGAGCGAGACCCCTTCTCTACTATAAATAGAAAGAAATTAATTGGCCAACTAACATATATAGAAAAAATTAGCCGGGCATTGTGGTGCATGCCTGTAGTCCCAGCTACTCAGGAGGCTGAGGCAGAAGGATCGCTTGAGCCCAGGAGTTTGAGGTTGCTGTGAGCTAGGCTGACGCCACGGCACTCACTCAAGCCTGGGCAACAAAGCGAGACTCTGTCTCAAAAAAAAAAAAAAAATTATAAACAAAATCCAAAGGTAATAATAGCCTACAAAAAATATTGATTAGCATATAAAACAGACAAATACCTAGAAGGAACAACACTCCAGTAACAATGAGCACACCTAGCACCCAGATCTTGGTTTCAAACACCATTCTCCAATAAAAGGAACTGGGGCTTCTTGGAGAAACGGCTGATTCTATTATAAGAATGGGGCTGGAAATACAGGAGTCCTCTCTTATTTGAAGGGCATACGTTCCAAGACTCCCAGTGGATGCCTGACACCACAGTTGGTACCCAACCCTATATATACTATGTTTTTTCAATCTGATTACCAAGACGGCTGCTGACTACCAGACAGGTCGAGTATACAGTGTAGATATGCTGAATAAAGGGATGATTCACATCCCAGGTGGGAAAGAGCAGGACAATGGAAGATTTCATCATGGTACTCAGAATGGCATGCAATTTAACACTTATGAGTTATTTCTGGAATTTTCCATTTAATATTTTCGGACTGCACTGGACCTCAGGTAACTGAAACTGAAGGCGGCGAATCCGTGGATAAGTGGGAAGGACTAGTGTATACAAGATGAGTCTGGAGCATCACTTAGTACCAAAAAGTAACAAAGTGCTCAAAAACCCTCACAATGACAAAGAAATGTCAGAGGGACACGGGAGCTAACAGGAAAGTCTCCCAATGGTGAAAGCTTTAAACAAGCAAATAAAGTGGCATTGGATTATAACCCAAAGTATAAAATAAATATCTGTGAGCCCATACTGATACTGGGGGAGAATAGATAAGTCTCCTGTGCAGAAGAATCCAAAATAATGTATGTAGACACTCCTGTCTCAGGAGACGGAGGCCACTCAAGCATGGGCCGTGCATATTGACTTCTTTCCAAAGAACATAGTCCTAGGCTGGGCAGAAAAAAAAAAAATAGAGAGAGACCAGAAGCCAAAGAACATAGTCCCAAAAATGGGGACAAAAGAGTAACTTTACAATGTCAGAGTTATATAGAACACTACCCTCAGCATAGTAGTTGAGGTTAACAACAGTGATAAGTCATGTTGATAGTATGCGTCCTTGATATAACGTACATGAACTCTGTGGTCTTCCTCCCGAAACCCCATACACCTCAGTTTAATCATAAGAAGAACACCAAACAAATTCCAATGGAGAAGCATCCTACAATATACTTGACCAGTACTCCTGAAAACTGTCAGGGTGATCAAAAGCAAGGAAAGTCTGAGAAACTTACAGCCAAGAGAGCTAAGAAGGCAGCTAACTATCCCGCATGGGATACTGGAACAGAAAAAGGATACTAGGTAAAAAATAAGGAAATCGGAATAAAGTATGGAGTTTAATTCATAAACAAAAATCAATATTGGGGCCTGGTATAATGGCTCATGCCTGTAATCCTAGCACTCTAAGAGACCGAGGCGGGAGGATTGCTTGAGGTCAGGAGTTCGAGACCAGCCTCAGCAAGAATGAGACCCTGTCTTTACAAAAAAAAAATAGAAAAATTAGCCAGGTGTTTGGCATATGCTTGTAGTCCCAGCTACTCGGAAGGCTGAGGCAGGAGGATCACTTGAGCCCAGGAGTTTGACGTCACTGTGAGCTATTCATGGCACTCTAGCTGGGGCAACAGAGTGAGACTCTGTCTCAAAAAAAAAAAAATCAATATTGGTACATTAATTGTGATGAATGTACCATACCAGCATAAGATGTTAATAATAGAGGAAACTTGGTATGGGGTATATGGGAACTATATGTACTGTCTTGCCAACTTTTCTGTAAAACTAAAAGTATTCTCAAATAAAAAGGCTATTTAAAACAAAAATAGAAAAAATAAGCAAAGGGATATCATACACATTATGCATCAAAAGACCAATTAAGGGGGAGGAGGGCATGGGCAATATATGTAACCTTAACACTTGTGCCCCCATAATATGCTAAAATAAATAATAAAATAAAAAATAAAAAAACAAAAGACCAGTACACACTTGAAAAGAATTAAAATTTACTGGTATTCAGAAATGCACATTAAAATAGCTACAAGGTTATTGTTTTTCTCCTATTTAGCTGGGAAACCTTTTTTTCTTCTATTACTGATGCCTGTAATTGGCAAGGTATAAGAATGTAAAAAGGTAAAAATGTGGGTACCCTTTGAAGCAGCAACATCACAACCAGGAAGTGATTATCAGTGTTATCACTGTTCACAGTGTTATGTACAATAGCAAAAACTCAAATCAACCAAAAGCTTATAAATATGGGACTGTTTACATAAAATGTGGGAACCTGGATGTGCAATGCAATGCAGACAATAACAACATTGTAGGACATTTGAAGACAAAAATACTCTATTATGTGTTACATGAAAATATCAACTGTATCTTCTCATATGTTTGCACATAATTCTTGGATCTGGGATTTAGTGATATTAACAAAGACCATTAAGTCCTATTAGTGATTGAAAGTTGTAAGTGCTTAAAGAATTATTTTAGTGCATCTTATAATATGCCAAGTATTATTTTGTAGCTCTTATAGTTAGAACTTGATGCTTCTCAAACTAGTAAGGGACCAAGTTTTTGTTACCACAAATTGTGTGTATGTTTGTATTTTACATATGCTGCAGGTTAAAAATGGAATTTGTATACAATAATATATTGCTTGTGGTCATCTCTGACTGGTAGGGTTGGGGCAATTTTTATTTTATTTTTGGTGATTTCCTACATTTCCAAAGTGTTTAAGGAACCACAGAATATTTTTTGTGATGAGAAAAATGTTTTAAAAGTCAACTTTTTCAAAAAATAAATCTTTTGTCCTTCAGGATTGCTTCCACTAAAGTTTATTTTTCAAAAATTTACTTTACATTATTGTCTGTAAGTAAGCACTTGTCAGTGTTCCAGATGCATCTTAGCTAAAACTAGTGAATGCCCTAACTTAGATGGTTTTTGAAGCCTATACATCTGGTACTGTTTGGCTCTTAAGCTTTTACATCTCTTAGCATGGAGGATGAAGAAAGCTGTCCGTCATTTCTTGAGAATCTGTATATTTAGACCAGATTTGTATTTTCACTGTCAGTATGGCAAATGAGTGAAAAAATGTTAATATACTATTGGGTTTTTTATTTTTTTTTTTTATTCAGCTTGTACCAGGGCTGAAAACCTCATTTTATGTTCATTACAGTGGGGATTTTTTAAAATGTCTACATTCTTTCTAATAAACTGTTGGAAGACTCAAAATAAATAAATAAATAAATAACTGCTATCTAAAATATTAAAATTATCTTTTTCAAAAAATGTATTTTTACTTTGTTTCTCTTGAGTGGATTTGGTTTATACACAAATTTGTAAATTTGTAATTTGTAAATTTACAGTTACGTGTTTTCTAAGTACTTATTTTCTATTAGGTTAAATTTTCATGAGATGTTAACAGCATTGTTGTGTTTGATTAATCTTCTTATATCTTTTCCTTTTAGGCTGGTGTTTGGGATGCTTTATCCTGCATATTATTCATACAAAACTGTGAAAACAAAAAACGTGAAAGAATACGTGAGTATAGTTTTATGAGTGATTAGTTTAATGTATCAATGATATACAAGGCTATAAAAATTGTCGTTCTTTTAAAAAAAGAGCTAGAATGTTATAGGTTAAAATGTGATAAATGTGAAATAAAAAAATTATTCTATTTTTTTTTTAAACTCACTTCGAAGACAACTCCAAAGTGGGGTTTCAAAAATAGTTTACTATCAAGTGGCATTTAATTAAGTATATGGTTCTCAAGATGAGTTATCAGATGGCTCTTCATTTTTCTTTTATAAAACTAATTTTTTTTTTTTTTTTAGACAGAGTCTCGCTTTTATTGCCCAGGCTAGAGTGAGTGCCGTGGCATCAGCCTACCTCACAGCAACCTCAATCTCCTGGGCTCAGGCAATCCTCCTGCCTCAGCCTCCCGAGTAGCTGGTACTACAGGCATGCGCCACCATGCCCGGCTAATTTTTTCTCTCTATATATATATATATATGTATCAGTTGGCCAATTAATTTCTTTCTATTTATAGTAGAGACGGGGTCTCGCTCAGGCTCAGGCTGGTTTTGAACTCCTGACCTCGAGCAATCCGCCCGCCTCAGCCTCCCAGAGTGCTAGGATTACAGGCGTGAGCCACCGCGCCCGGCTATAAAACTAATTTTTGAAGCGAAATAGAGTAGTGGAACGTATCTAGTAGAGGTAAAGAAGTTACTTTAGTTGAGCCTGTGAAATTTTTCTACCCTTTTACTATATATATCACTTGGATCTAGAATTGGTGAAATAATCTTCAGAGATAAAACCACATTAAGTCATAGTACCTTAAATTCATTTTATAAATGGCTTGAAGGGTCATATTTTAATAGATGTAATAAAAACTTGAAGTATTGTTTAAAACTACTGGCATGCATGAGTTTCTAGAAGCCAGCACTCACCTGTTAACAGTGCTTCTCAGACCATGCTACGGGATCAGCTTTGTTGTTTTTCCAGTAAGTCTTAGGCCAGTACTTCTGTAAAATAAAAACCTAATCACTAGAAGAAGATGAAATTAAAAAAACCCCAAAACATGAAATACAACTCCAGTTTTTTTATACTACCAGACTTCAATAAACATGAAATTACAGTTGGATTTTGTGCTTAAGGCAACACGGTAACACTTCACAGCCTTGCACAATTCCCTAGACAACACTCTACCCTACTGTGTAATATTTCAGTTGGAATTCTCTTTTGAAAGATAAAAGAGTTCCCCATCATTTTCAAACACCATGAAAATATGCTCTAGGGACTCTGCCACTGGCAGTGCTTAATAAACATGAAACTTCTCCCTATTGGGATGTTTTTGATGCCATTATTAAATGAGATCTTTTTCTGAATCTAATTACCTGTACAGTTGAATTACAGGGTGTAATGCATCTCAACATTGGTGCCATTTCACATATAAAGTATTCTAGACACTCAGGATATGCAATAATTGGTGTGCCTTCATATGTGTCTTTATGTATATATTTGTGGTTAACATGTACTCCCATCTCCCCTGCTAAATCTGCTTGATTTTGTGGGGAAAAAAGTTAAGTGCAAATTGCAAATGACATTTAGACGAGAAGCTCTAATAATTTGAGGATATCAGCAGGCACAGAAATACTGTCCCATAAATTAAAAAGCTAAGAGGATAGCAATAAGAAATATAGACGTATTAAATAAAGTATAACAAGAGCCGGGTGTGGTGGCTCACACCTGTAATCCTAGCACTTCAAGAGGCTGAGGTGGGAGGATTGCTTGAGGCCAGGAGTTCGAGACCAGCCTGAGCAAAAGTGAGACCTCATCTCTACAAAAATTAGCTGGCTGTGGTATACACCTGTAGTCCCAGTCCCTTGGGAGGCCGAGGCAGAAGGATTGCTGGAGCCCAGGAGTTTGAGGTTACAGTGAGCTATGTTGATGCCACTATCTAGCCTGGGCAACAGAGTGAGACCCTATCTCAAAAAATAAATAAGCTATACCAAGAAGTAGACCTATTATGTATAAATGAATACTGAGAGAGCAGAAAAGATGTTATTTAGAGTTTGGCCTAAGAACTATTATAAAAGATTAGTCCATTCATAAACACCATTGAACTTTGAAATGTTAATTTTTAAAGACTTAAAAACATGAATTTGTGTGTTTTATTACCTTTATTGCTACACTCAGATTTTTATTACTAGGTTATTTTGTAAATTTGGGATTAGTAAGTATGGTCTAACCCTGAAATTTTGATTCTGCTTCATAAATTAAAGATAATTTATACTATGAAGAGAATCTATTAACATTCAAACTGATGAGAAAACTAAAACTTGTTATGTGTTGAGATAATATACATGTATGTGTGTAGATATATATGAGGGCTGTCTAGAAAGTATCCAGCCATAATTTTCATAATTTTTCCCATTATATGGCTGAATACCTTCCCGGACAGCCCTTGTAATTAGCATAGTGCTTTGCACAGTTCTTAGAGGATAACTTATTAACCATGTTGGAATTATCTGCATATAATTTTGCGGTAATACCATGACTGTGAAAACAGTTTTCTTAACCATACCTTTGAGAAGACCAGAGTAATGAGTAACAGAAGAGAAACTAGGGAAGGTAAAAGGCAGGTGGCTGGAGCTGGTTTGATAATTACTGTTTCACAGATAATTTCGAGCAAGAGCAAAATGACCAGGCACAAAAACAGGAAGGGCAGGCATCTGCCTTTGACAGGGAAATATGATACAACTCTGAAGATGTCCTAGTAACCAAGTTTTCTGCCATCAAGGCTGCTACAGAGACCAAGTTGAGATGTCATCTTAGAATAGTAATATATTACATTTATATAGTTTCCTACCAATTTCAAAATACTTTTGCCTATTGTTTCCAGTTGTTACTGTTAAATTTTCATGCTCTTATTGGCTTCAAATGACATGTTTATTCTCTTACAATCCTGGAGGTCAGAAATCTAAAATGATTCCTCTGGAGTCTCTAGGGGAAAAACTTTTACTTACCTTTTCCAGCTCCTACAGGCCGCCCATACTCCTTGGCTTACTGCTCTTTTCTTCCATCTTCAAAGCTAGCAACGTTGGGCTAAGACCTTTTCATACCACCGTCTTTCTGCTTCTCCCTCTTCTGCTTCCGTTCCACTTATAAGGACCATTATGATTATATCAAACTCACCTGATTAATCAAGGATAAACACCCTATCTCAAGATCAGCTGATTAGCAACCTTAATTTCATCTGCAACCTTCTCCTTTACCATGTAACCTAACACAGCCAGTTTCCAAGGATTAGTACACAAATATCTTTGGGGGAGAGGGCATTATTCTGCCTACCCCAATGATCTCTCACTGATCCATACTACAACCGTATAAACTATGCAGGGAAAATATTCCAATTACAGACTCAGAGACGTGAATTAACCTGCCCAGAGTACATGGATTGTAAAGGCAGGATTGGTACCAGATGGAAGATCTTCTGTTGCTAATGTTTTATTCTTTCTGTTCTACCATGCTACCTTTAGAAGCTTAGGAGTTGAAACAGCTTTTCACAACCAGCTAGTGAATGTGCATCTGATTAATTCAAAGGTAGGCCCTCAGGCGCCACAACCATGCAGATGTTTTTTCAGGAAGGGCAATGAGGCAGCTTAACCAGGACAGGATCCATAAGCATCTAAGTCACCTGTGAACTCTAAGAGGTTAAAAATGAAATTAGAAGTTTTCGAAAATTCTGTAAAGTCTTGACAGTCCTTTAAGTATTGCCAATCTATTTTACTCTGATAAGAGTTTTGGCAATTATTTTCTTGCACCCACCTGTCAAAAGAGGCTGAGTCTCATCCAAATTAAACTCTGACTCCTAACAGCTTTATCAGAACTCTGGCCTCATAAAGTATTTCCTGCATGATAATCCTATTCAGATTTGCTTTGTTTTGTACATGGCAGTTTGTTAGTAAAATTAACCTTCTAAAAATTGCCCTGTTAGGTATCTTTAATGATATGTTATATTACTATATTCTTTATTTGTGTATATGTTTGTCTCCTCCACTGGAATAGGCCCCAGAGGAAAGGGTTTTGTTGTTTTGTTGGTTAGTATTAATATATTCTTATACCTGGAACACTGCATAGTATATAACAGACACTCAATATTTTGGGATAAATAAATAATAAATAAGAAAAAAGGGGAAAGTTAATATATATCAAATATTAAATTATGCTTAAGAGCCTGTGCATTTCTTAATTGGATTGATCTAGCTTGCCACCTTTGATTCTGCTGGGGTAGGGAGTATACCGTCCAGTTTTAGTACTTATCACAAAGCCCAATTTCTTTTTGATATTTGGTTATGACCTAAATTCTGCTGCTATCTACTTCAAAATTATTTTCAGAAGGCAAATATTTTCGTTTAATTTACTTCTTCCCACCCTAACTACTACCATTCCCCTTAAGCCTGCAAATGGTAAATTGCACCTGATAAAACAGATGCTGTGTTCAAATCAAAACAAATGGAAAGTACTGTGTATTTTGGCAACCTTCCTTTCTTCCTTTGCCTATTTTTAAAACAGAGCTTTCCTAGGATATAATTTCCTGTATAGTGCGGCTGATATGGCCTACTTAAAGACTTTCAGTCTTGCAGTAATTGAAATGTAAACTTACTGAAGAATTAGTATGGTTTTGCAAATTTTTTCAGGCTCATTCCATCTCATGACTTGAAAATAGAGTGTTTACTTCCAAGTAGTGTGTAATTGCTGTAGCTTTTCTAGGAAACCAGTGTTCTTGTTCAAAGAATGTTGGAGAAAGCAGCAATGAAAAGATTGGCTAACAGCACTTCAAAATCAAAATCAGACATTTGGTCCTAAGATTTACTGTGTGCAAGAACAAAGAACAGGGAAAACTCTGGGAGATTACTCTTTAAAAGGCCTAGAAATGGTCCTCTAAAACTCTATTGACTTGGTTTTTGAAAGTGACCTAATTTTTTACTGAGTATCTAGGTGATGTGAAAATGAACAAATATACCACATGCCAGTTC